GCACGGATAGCGGGGACCCTTACCTCATGGCAGGGACGGAGATGTCCACACTTTCAGTCGACACCCTCTCCATCTCATCACAGGTTAGTTAGTTAGTTAGTTAGCACGGATAGCGGGGACCCTTACCTCATGGCTGGGACGGAGATGTCCACGCTATCGGTCGACACCCTTTCTATTTCTTCACAGGTCAGTGGTTAGCCTGGCAGCCAGAATATTTTGACCAAAAAGAAATCAATTTTTTTTAATTCAAAGGCACAATATTTGTGCCATTTGCTGCCAAAATAACATTCAAAAGGATTATTTCATAAAAAAATATTTCCATAGGGCTATCCGACCTGTGGGTGGGCCAAGATAATTTAGAAAGGCAGATGGAAATTCTGACAAATGACAAAGAGAAGTTTATTGCAAATTCATGCCCGGGGGCTAATTGCAAATTACAAATTTGTCTAAAGCTATAGCTATGTCTAAAACTATGTCTAAGGGGTTTAACTTCTCTTTTTTAGACCATGGAAGACGTAATGTCCCTGGCCACCTTTTCCAAAATTAGTGGGTTTTGGGAAGTTAAAAGAAGAATAGTTTTTTTCAGTAAATGACAAATTAATATACTTTTTCTAAAAGTGCAAATTGGTTGTAGTAACGTTATTTGTTATGTCCACCCAGGGTAGTAGGAGCGCCCCTGTGAGCCACCAGTCGTCAGAGGGATGACTACGTGTGCGAGATGTCGTGTACTTTATACACACATCAGTAGTAATGTTATATGCTGTATCCCCCCCAGGGTAGTAGGAGCGCCCCTGTGAGCCACCAGTCGTCGTTTGAGCGTGGCGGTGACGGTGAGCCGACCAGACAGGCGTCGCTGGAGGACGGCAGGGACAGAAGGCCTACTGTCCTGGCAGGTGAAGCAACGGAACTGTGCTTTTTTTTTTATAAATGAACAGTTACTGAGTGTATATTCCCTAATTCATACACTTAAGGCCACACCAATTAAATTTCTTGGTTAACGGATTTTTCTAGAAAAATAATGGAGCGGGCGGCCGAAAAAAAAATAAAAATAAAAACAGGCCTAGGCATCCTATTATGGCCCAAAATGGTACGATAGGAGCCATGAAGTCAACACACCAGGCTGGTTCAAAATTTAAACAATGAATTTTGAACTTTTAATGATACCACTGCATTGAAAGATGGAATAACTGTAACTACTAGGATGAAAAAGACTGTTTTCAACTGTTCAGGGCAAAATATGAGCATTTTGCAGTTGATTCTGGATTTTTATTTTTATTTGCAAATCAGAAAAAAATGAAGCGGTGAATCCGTTAACCAAGAAATTAAATTGGGGTGGCCTAAGCACTGTAGAAAAGTTCATATTCCTAATGCAACTAGACAAACCTTTCATTGAAAAAAGTATCAGATTCTGTTCAGATTCTGTTCCTGATCTCTACTATAACTGAAAAGGGAGGAGAAGTTGAATTTATCTAAATGATCGTTTTACTGTATCCGGTCAACACATTTTGTTGTGACCTGTACTTAGCCCAGTGTGGCATAAAATGTGCTATAAATGTCGTCATTAATATGATCTTTAACCAGTCTGAGTTCAAAGAAATCAAATCAACAATTTTTACAACATCCGTGAAAGATTTAAGATGCAAGTTTCGGAAGCTTGAATGATCATAACTCCATAGCATATCTGATTCTGCGTCAGCTGAAAAGATCTCTCCAATGAGACCAGGGTAGGAAATTTTTGAAATTTTTATGCACCATATCTATTTAATGTAACATTTTAACAGTTAACATCCATGTCCATAATATTGCCACCTTGAGAAACAGTGTGCTTAAAGATATTTTTACTGCAACATACTTTTGGTATGCACTCCTTCACACCTCAAATGTACATACCTAGGGTATGTTGCAGTAAAAATATTTCTCAAGGTGGCGATATTATGGACCCTGGTGATATTATGGACACGGATGTTAAACATACCAAGAGTTACATTTCTTGTATATTTTTTCCAAATCTGTGTCCTGTAGGAGACGGAGAGGGTTCGACCAGACCTAAGAAGGTGACTCTGGAGTACTGCGACAGCGAGAGTTCTACAGAGGAGGTTTCACAGAGCGCCGGCAGTGCAACAACCATAGAGGAAACCAAGAAGAGAAAAACTGTAAGCTACACTACATGTGTAATAGTCCACTGATTGAGCTATGCTTATAACATAGCCACAATAATCATGAACTGTATTTAGTCTAGCAAAAATTCAACTTCGAACTGGCTGAAGGAAATAATTCGCCTTATCTCTCCTTAGCTCTTTGGTTAAATAACAATCTTTAAGGATTTCATAAGGTTTTATACGGTACACGAAGCCAAGCCAAGAGAGAGATATACACAAAGTAAAGCACTTACCAACAAGCTTTCCTCTGACCCTTCTCAATGTGTACAGAATTAGCATGTAAAATAATTTAATGTTGATTACTGTCACTCACAGTAGTTTTTATTTGATCCCCTAGGACAGTGCTATTCTATGTTTCACAGCTTACTTGTGATGGACCTACAAAATGTACATGTACATGAACATGTGGTGTCTTATTTTGCTGTTGCTCCCCCTAGGCCACAGTGCTGGTACTGCACCTGTCAGATGTTGGGTTGGAATTGTCGAATCACCAGCGGGACAACTTCACCAAACTATAGGGCCAAGAGATCGAACTAGCAACTAACTAACTTACTGTGCATCTGCACCCTCTAGGCCACAGTGCTGGTACTGCACTTGTCGGATGTTGGGTTGGAATTGTCGAATCACCAGCGGGACAACTTCACCAAACTTCAGGGACAGGAGATCTGACTAACTAACTAACTAACTTACTGTGCATTTGTGCCCCCTAGGCCACAGTGTTGGTACTGCACTTGTCTGATGTTGGGTTGGAATTGTCGAATCACCAGCGGGACAACTTTACAAAACTTCAGGGACAGGAGATCTGACTAACTAACTAACTAACTTACTGTGTGTTTGTGCCCCCTAGGCCACAGTGTTGGTACTGCACTTGTCTGATGTTGGGTTGGAATTGTCGAATCACCAGCGGGACAACTTTACAAAACTTCAGGGACAGGAGATCTGACTAACTAACTATCTAACTTACTGTGTGTTTGTGCCCCCTAGGCCACAGTGTTGGTACTGCACTTGTCTGATGTTGGGTTGGAATTGTCGAATCACGAGAGAGACAACTTCACCAAACTTCAGGGACAGGAGATCTCATTCGAGGAGAGGAGAGAGGTCGATGTGCAGGACTTTCTCGCTAAAATCAGCCAGAGTAAGAACTGTTCTCCCTTACTCACGCTTTCTTTAGCTTTGCAAATGCGAATGTTATGATTGCTACTTAAAAAAGAAAAGTTACAAGTACTGAGTAGAAAAAGAGTAGAACATGTAACTGTAGCATGGTACATACCGGGGGTATATGTTTTACTTCGGATCCTTTTGCACCAAATGTTGTCAGTCAAAAATGAAATATATTGTGTAAAGTTTTAGTCAGAGATAACATCTGCTTTGAAATTCATAATAATTTTCATACATACTTCTATGGCAATCTCTCAAGTGCTACCAACTTAGCAAAGGCGCGACCTAGCCTGCTTCAACTGAGGTCTACCAGAAAATACTTTTCATATTCTGAGTGTATTGATTTTCCAGATTCAAAATGATAACCGATGTTGCTTTGCAGGAAAGAGGCATCGGCGTCACTTCAAATTCAGGACGATGTTCCCGACAGAAGACAGCCCGTCCCGCAGGAGAAGGGGTGAAGATCAACGTTGTGGTTAAACTTGTCCTGTGGTCGTTTGATAACCATGCCCATAGCCAGGGGGGTTTGGGGGATTCGGACGAAGGCCAAAGGCCCCCCCTCCCCAAGGCCCAAAGGTCCACTTTTTGGGCTACGGGCTCCTGGCTACGGGCATGATAGCTGTATAGTTAGAACCACATCAGTCTCTAAATAAAACAAAAATTGGAAACTGTGTGGCCTGTGGTATTGTATCCAGAACAAGTTAACTGTGCCTATCTAGTTCTATGCCAGAATGGGTTAGGGCTAGGATCAGGCACGGTTCTGGATAGTTTCTGTCATATCCAGAACAATGTCAATCCAGTTCTATGCCTGAAAGGGTTAGGGTTAGGATCAGGCGCGGTTCTGGATAGTCTCTGTGTATCCAAGAACGTAGATTTGCCCCAGGCACGGTTCTGGATACTTTTAGACTATCCAGACAGATGGAAGTTCTGGATACAATATGTGGCCTCTTGTACAATTGTGACAAAGACTAGCTCATACATTTTTAGGAACTTGTCGGAAATTTCCAAAATCAATCAAAACAAGGATCTTTTCCCAGAAAATATTTGATAGACCAGTGATTGACCTTTTCTCACCTTTCAGACCTATGCTACTGTAGCCCTGCATGCTGCCTGTGTGTTAATGTTTATTCTGTTCTCCAGTAGAGTTAGAATTAGGCTGTGTTATCATCACTTTGTTTTGATGCCTCGTTTCTTTTCCCCTTTTCTCAGATCCATCCCATCATTCCCTGTCAGGGGCTCCTTGGTTCCGGCTACCCATAATCCTTTGTTCCCCGCAGTTGTTTACTTTTTCGATTCCTTTTATTTCTATTGATACTAATTTGATTTGTTTGTTTTCAGGTATTCGCTTTCAAATTGTTTTAAAGTTTTTCATATCATATTGTCATACAGATAAATTGAACCAGATTATTTTTTATTTGAGATATCATATATTTTTTGTTGTTGTTTAGTTTGTAAAGTGTGACACTAAAAGTTAAGAACTTAATATTTGCATGGAGTGTTTATTAAGTATAGTATCTCCATAATCTTTGATGGACAAAAATCGCGGTGTAAATATAGGAAAAGAGATGTGAGAGTCATGGAATTAAGATTAATTTACTACCAACAAAATTTGCCCATCAAAATGCAAGAAATAGCACTAGTGTTTCAGAAGGTCAAGATTTCAAAATTCGCTTGACATGATGCGAACAAAATTAAGATGACAGAACAAAATTTCAAAGTGGCTTGAGGCTTTTCTTACAAGTTCGTGCTTATGTTGTACTCAGTTGTTTTTATCAGATAACCTTTATCGTACATTCATGTCCTATTGGGCCAAGTACAGGTAAACAGATGGCAAAATATTTAAGGTATATACATGTTTTTAGTACAAGAAGGACTACTGATACAAACATAAGCTCTAAAAGTTTAAACTACTCTAATACAGAATTGTTACAACATTAAGCTCCAAAAGTACTCTAAAGTAAAGGTTCGGCTTCTTCTCGTTTCTTTGTGATGTTGAAAATATTATTTATAACGTCCTTTTCCAGTTAAGAAGGACGTCCCGCTGCCCACAGCGACTGACGTTCCCCCCCACGTGTCGGCCCGACTGGAGAGCGGCCCCCACGCCGCGCGGTACTCTCCCAACGCCCCCAAGCTGGGCCACCTGGAACTGCAGCTGCAGGGCGCGGCCGGGGTCGTCACCATGTCAACGCTCACGGGGGTCGCCAGCCTGATCGAGGACGAGATTCTCACCACCCCCATGCCCATGAGAGTGGACTTCGTCGACTCACAGTTAAGCCTTGTGGTGAGTTTTTGTTTAAGTTACTGTTACAGTAGAATTACATTCAATATGTACAACTTGTGGGTTCAGGGGTGCCAACGAATCCATACAAATTTTATGGAATCCATCAATTTTACAAAATACATTATGATTTATTACAAGTAAACATATGTATAGATACAAATTTTACGGAATACTAGTACATACTATCTATTACCAGAAACATACAAATTTTACAGAGTACAAAAGATCCATTACTCTAAAAATATGATTCTTACTGATTTGATGATCCAGGCACAGGTCACCAAATTAGTAAGGATCGTATGTTTCTGAGTAATGCATCGTATGATGTGTATTTCGTAAAATTTGTACGTATTCTGCAAAATTTGAAATGTATGAATTCTTTGGCACCTCTGGGGTTCTAGATCATGGTACATTCATCTGTTGAATTTTGCTTTTGCCATTTCATCCAATTTTGACTGGTTTCTGAACACTTTCTACATCGTCACGTGTGAACAACTACTTTTTGCGGTCTGTTTGACACACATTTTTCCTACTTGTTTGTCACAAATGTTTTTTATTTGTTCCCATGTTTTCTGACAATGTTGTTGCACTTTCTCGTCTGTATCTCTTGTTCTGTTGTCTCAGATCAAGCTTTTTCTACCTTTGGTAAGTTCCAAACAGCACATTATTCTTGAACAGTCAAATTGTCACCACTAATATTCTGCTTCTTGTTCTACATGGAAAAGCAAGCTGTCTAGTACATGTATTTATCACCCATCTTTCTACATTTTCCCGCTCTTCTTTCTTCATGAAACCCGGTTTAGCATGTCACTGATGATTTAATACCCTCAAAGTTAGTCATCGCCCTTGTTAGGACATTTGGATGTTCCTGCCAGATTTAAACTTTATGCTGCACTCAGTTTTCCAGACATTTTTTTTTTTTTGAGACTGAATTGTGTTGATTTTACACAGTAAATTTTTAACTGTTGTAATCCGAAATATCATTAGCATTACAACCACAATCATAATTATTAAAATTGAGATAGTACTATACAAGATGATTCAAATATGACAAAAGCACAATAACAGTCATTAGCCAATAATGGTAAATACCTTGACCCCCCCTCCCCCCCACCTTGTGAGCAAAGCTGCTGTATGTATTGATAACTGATGAATAACTGTGGTTTGGGTTTCCCTGCTGGCTCTGTTTAGGACTACTGGGTAAGACTTCAGAAACTTCTGCCCCCCCCCCTTCATATCTATACTCGAGGACATGTACATGTATCTGATTGTACTAATTGACTAATCTGATTGACTGGCTCAACCTTAAGCTACATGTACTTGTTGACAAAAAATATTAACTTAAAATATTTAAGAACAAATGCCAGAAAATAATTATAACAGCTATGATTTCCCCAAGTATTGGTTCAAGTATATTAACATATATTAAGTTACAATTATAGAATCCATAAATATTACAACCTTCAAGCCAACTTCACTTTTCTTGGACTAACTTAGATCACAAACTTCAAGAAAAAACTAAACTATCCTTATTGTCCAATTGTTAACTTTGAAACTTATATAGGCATATTAACAACACACACCTTAAAATTATATTTTATGATTAACAACACACCCACTTAATAAGAAAAAGAGAGAAAATTTCAAAATTATTATTGTGTTCTCTGTCTTAGTGGTAAGTAAACTCTGTTCTCTCGTACTTTTAGGACGATGGCCCTCCCCTTAACCCTGGTTCTCCCGGGAGCATCCCGCTCGACATCCATGTGGACCGCGCCACTGTGGTCAGGATGGAGGACGGGATATTCCATCTCACTTGTAAGTATCCCTTTGGTGTAATTATTGTAAATAGCCATAACTGAGTAGCCTGGGTTCCATCCTGGTTAGTTTACGTCCGCTCCTACAATGGTTGGTGGTAGCGACTGTAGGAGCGGACGTAAACTAACCAGGATGGAACCCAGGCTAATAACTGAGCACCCCCGAGGCTGAATGGGATAGTCCAGTCTTGGGGGTCTGTAAGTTAGAACTTATATTATGTTAACCTTTGCAGAAGGCAAACATATTGTTTTTGCTCCATTTTCTTCTTCTTGCCTTTCTGCTTCTTGCCTTCCTAACAAATAAGGTCAATGACCTGGACCAGACGGCTGTCACCATGGTAACTGGTGCTGAAGCCAGTGGTGTTGGGTTACATTATTAATTTATGTAGCAAGTTGCAGGACAGAGTTGGAGGGGGCTAGTTACCATACATATGATCATTGTGTTTGGGTAAGAATAAACAAAGAACTGTAGTCTGTTAGGCTAAATGATGTGAGGTAAACATTATGCATTTTCTTGGCAAAATATTATCTTTCTACTACATGTAGTTTGGATCAAGTTTTTATAAAAAAAAATTTACATGATTTATTGAATTCTGACTGTTGCAGGTGTGTCGCCCTCCCCACATCTGGGTGTGGCTGTACCAGGGAGAACGGCAAACCACACGTCACCAGGGTTACAGGCAGGAGGACACAGTAGTGCTGCTGCTGCACAGGTCACAGCTCTGAAGGTGGGACAGGGCTAGGGTTAGGGTTAGGGTTAGAGTTAGGGCTGGGGTTGGGGCTAGGGTTAGGAGTAGTGTTAGGGTTAGGGTTAGGGTGGGGGTTGGGGTTAGGGTTAGGGTTACAGGCAGGAGGACACAGTAGTGCTGCTGCTGCACAGGTCACAGCCCTGAAGGTGGGACAGGGTTAGGGTTAGGGTTAGGGTTAGGGTTAGGGTTAGAGTTAGGGCTGGGGTTGGGGCTAGGGTTAGGGGTAGGGTTAGGGTTAGGGTGGGGGTTGGGGTTAGGGTTAGAGTTACAGGCAGGAGGACACAGTAGTGCTGCTGCCGCACAGGTCACTGCTCTGAAGGTGGGACAGGGGTAGGGGTGGGGGTAGGGTCAAGGTTAGGGTTAGGGCTAGGGTTAGAGTTAGGTTCAGGGTTGGGCTTTGGGTTAGGGCTAGGGTAAGGTTTAGGGTCAGGGTTGGGGTCAGGGTGAGGTTTAGGGCTAGGGTTTAGGGGTAGAGTTATGGTTAGAGTTAGGGTTAGCACTGCCACGATATGCCACAAAAACAAATGCTGCAAAAATGCATGTTCCAAAAATGAATGCTGCAAAAATCCAGGAACCAAGAGTTCAAATTGGCTTCTTCTCGTTCTACTCCACAGGAGGAGAACGATCGCCTGCAGAGGGAGGTTGCGCGGCTGAGGGAACAGCAGAAGAGCAGTATGACATCACAGCTTCTGTCGGAGAACCTCTGCCTCCAGGGGGAGAAGCAGCAGCTGAAGGAAGAGCTGCTGGATACCCAACATGCACTGCAGGTATAGGAACTACCTTTGAGTTATTTCCTTTACATATCAACAAGGAGGTTCAAATCAATGACTATATGTCATTGAGTCTTTTTCATGTTCAACCACTTTTGGAGTGGTGGATGTTACTTGAAACTTCTGGAAATTATCTCCATAATTTATCCAGTAGTAGAGTTTGAATTTCTTGTGAGTATTCGTGCCCGTAGCCAAGGTGGGTTTCCAAACCCCTCACAAGGATCAAAGGTCCACTTTTTATCTAAAGGTCCAAGATTTTTCTTTAAAAAGTGGACATGCACCCAGACGTTGTGTCGTTTTGAAAGGCACTTGACATGTATTTCCCCCTTCAGTTAGAGGGATACTGTGCCCTACCAGGGTTTGGCTTGACGTTAGGAAGGGCATCCAGTCGTAAAAATCTTGCTTCAAAAAAAAAGATTTGCATTTGATGCAAGCACGTCTAACCCAAAGTTAGGGTTAAGAAGAGTGTTGTTTCCCCCGTATGTCTAACCCTCACCACTAACCCATAACCCTGCAGGAGGCTGAACAGGAGCGTACGACGCTGCTGAGGACTCTGGAGCACGTTCAGGAGGAGATGCTGCAGGCAGACCGCGAGAAGAACTTCCTCCGAGACCAGCTGGACAGGAGAAGCCCAAGGAAATGATGTGTAAAAACACCCCCCTTCTAATTCCTCCTATGCCAGGGTCTGTACATGTAGTTCTACTACCTGAAGCAGAGTTGCGAAAGTTGAGCTGCGAGAAGAACTTCCTCAGAGACCAGCTTGAGTGGAGGAGCTCAAATGGAAATGATGTACAAAAACACCCCCTCTTCTACTTCCTGCTATGCCATGCTATGGTTCTGTAGTAGTACTACTACTTAAAGCAAAGCTGAACCATAATTTGCAACACAAGAATTGGATTTGCGCAAATTTTTATTTTCCTCCAAGATCAGCACATTAGGAGAAGCCCCAGAAAATGATGTGTAAAAATATCCTTCAATTCCCCTCAACCTTCTCCTATGCCAGGGTCTGTATACTACTTCAGTCTAAAGTTGAGCTGTCATAACTATGGTTACACTGTCGAAGTAGGACATTTTTCTCAATTTGGCTTATCGCGAGAACTTCTTCAGAGAACAGCTTGAGTGGAGAAGCCCCAGAAAATGATGTATAAAAACACCCCCCTTTAGTAGTACTACTACTGAAGCAAAGTTGGATTGTGGGGTGGGTGTTTTGGTGCAAAATTTGAGCTGTCAAAACTATGATAACACAGTCAAAGAAGTAGAACATTTTTCTCAATTGGGTAAAGGATGGACAGAAGAACTCTCTCTCACTGGTCTGGACAGTAAGGGTGGACAAAACATGTTTGTACAGAACAACATGTATAAATATGCAGCTTCAGACCCCCCTGCTCTTTCTAACATTCAAGCACAGTCAAGATTTCAGCAATTGCTGCAGAATGCCTGTAGGTCACAACTCTTTCCCGTAGCATGCAAGTCCCAAACCAGGGTCATTAAAGGCATCCAGTGCAGTTTTTAGGGCTTGGAAATCCGATTTTTCAAAGCCAATATTCTAGTCATTTATCGACATACTGAGTTGAAACCGCCACAAAAATTACCAAAATTCTGACGAAAAATGGTTACTGATTTTTAGGGTACCACCCAGAAAATGAAGGACTCATCTTGAGGCTTGTTACTGCAGTTTTAAAAGCCCAAAGTATAAAATACTGACAGAAATGTGCTAATGTGAAGCAGTACATGTATGTGTCAATATCAAAAAGATTGCCTTATTCAGAATATTTCTAGTCTTCCTGCCCTGAAATCGCACTGGATGCCTTTTAACACTGCACCACACACCCTACACACTAGTACACAGACTTACTGCATCACTCAATCAACTCAGGCTTCTCAAACCTCTGATAGAAAAAAAGTACAAAGAGGTGAAGAAACAACTAGAGTTTTTAGCACAGGACATTCAAGGTTTGATAGAAAAGTAACAGAAAGTTGCCGGAAGAAAATTCTCCCTGTAAAGACGAATTTGTAACCCCTATAATATACTAGTAATCTCTTTGCAACACTAGTAGTATGATAAAGTAATAAATAATAATTAAATGCTGTAAAAAAATCTAGACCGCGTAAGGCTACTGAACCATTTGACGTGAGAGTGAAAAAAAGCACTATATTATTGCCTGTTCCATATACGCCTAACTCATGAACTGAGACAAAGAGATGCCTTGTGGACTATACCACTATGTACCTTCCAACGGGGAGGTATAACTGGTGATGGTGGTCCTTTGGATGAGACAACAGGAAAACTCAAAAAAAGTTATGAACGGTTTTTCATGATTTTTTTGTTTGATTTGTAGACTGCGTATGACAGATCACAACATGACAACACAATGCAAAATCCCCTTAGATAGTTTTGATGTTTCCAATTTAAAGCAATTGGCACAGTTTGAAGACATTTGGCATAAGTACTTAAGGTTTCCATTGTTTGTACTTTATGGCTAGACTGACTTAATTAAAATCTGGATTTTTTTAGAGAAAGCTTAGAAAAACTCAAATAGGGAGGAAATGGAAAATCATGGAGTTTGCTGCAAGCTGCACATGTAATAAGCTATTTCCCAAGTTTAAACTGCACATGCACAGTATATTATATTATATCAAAATTGAAGGGCCCTGAGACATAAGCAAAACAAGTCTGGACAAGAAATGCAAAATGAAATGACTACTTTTGGGTGAAGTTGTTTTAGCTTGGGTTTTGCTGCTGTGTACTTAAATGTAGTTCATCAATGATAATATTGATATTAGGCTAATTTCTGTTTTCTTTTGAACAGTTTCTTAAAATTTGTTTTGTTTCTTTTGAAAAGTTTCTGCATTTCATATACTTAAAGAGCTGAGTAGCATTTTGTGATATGTTTTTCATTGATAATGTCTGAATACTGATGTTACAGCCATGACAATAATGTGTAGTGGTGTGGAACATAACTCTGCTGCTATATCCGTTTGTTGTTGTTTGCATGTGAAGAATGTTTACTTGTTTGTTTATGACCCTTATGGTGTATCCATGACAACTGATGTTGCTATGGTAACCATAGTTCTGTATCCATGATGCTACCAGTGATATTACCAAGGTGACAGGTATATATTGTGGACAATTTGATCTTTCAGTACAGAACTGTGTTATCAACTCCATTATAATAAGTTGTTCGTAAGAGAACTCCCAGGCCTCTCAATAATATTGTTACCTGATGAAATAAGCATCATTACGAAATGCCATCAGTGCAATACAGTGTACATTGGTTGTGTTTAATTAATGTTAATTATTTCTGCTAAGCAGAAAAGCAATCAACTAAGAGACATAATGATAATTGTAATTATCATTATTTAATTACTCAATCTGACGGCAAAAACTTAGCATTATGAGCCACGACAATCTCACGTTTTTAGATGGGAAGGTCAAAGGTCAGGTCAGACATGCTAACTTTTGACCATTGACCTCTGACCCACCATGCCATGTTAGTGTGCTCAAATACAATCCATCCGTTGCAATCGGTGCATTGACATTTGAATGATGTTAGAATTTTTTATTAATATTGAAATTCTACATGTATGTACAAATTGTTATCATTAATATGTCTTGTTATCATTAATTGTCTAATTACTAATAGGTAAAAATCTGTTTCTGTTGGAGTCACTTGGAGAGTTTACGGGGTTGTCTTTCATGGCTTGTAGATAATATGCAAATTACTTGAATGTATTACATTATGTAAATATTGTTCAGGTGGAGAGCTAACCAAGTCTTGTAAGGTTTCCTTAGCACCCTCACCTCTACAGGCTGTGACCACTGGCTGACCAAAGACTTGGCGGATCCCTCAACAAATTTCGTTTTTGTGTTTCTTTCATCCTATTCCAATTACAAAACTAGAAAATTAACATTTCCAAAGCAAGTGCATAATGTTTACCTTCGCATATGGTCTGCTCTGTTAATTCTTACTCAAACACATTCATATAATTATATGGTGACAGATGTCTAAATTCCTCCTGCTTTAAAATTGCGACATTACTAGTATGTAACCCAACACTAGTTACCATGGTGACAGACATCAGGTTCAGGTCATTGACCTTATTTGTTTGGAGAAGAAGAGGAAGAAGAAACACAGCAAAAACAATATGCTTTCTTTCTGCAAAGGTAAACATAATCAAGGGTCACACGAATCCAGTTTTGGTGGATCAGCGATCGCTGTCGAGTGGAAAGCGTGAGAACACAGTATGACCTTCAATCTCCAAGCAGATCCAAGCTTTCGGTGGCCACAAAAGACAGTATTGAATTGGCCAGGCAGTATCCAATAGTCAGATAGTATCCATTGGCTAAATGCACACTCCTCTGGCCAATGGATACTGCCTTGCCACCGTATGATCTGCTTGGAGATTAGGGCCTGTCCTGTAGTAGAACACAGTACCGTAGTACAGTACTAGACAGTTTCTCTACACCTTAACCCTCTCCCTGCTGCCCAACCCTGTAACCAACACAAATTGTGGTACCAAAAGGCCACTTCAGCAGGGTAGGGTTAAGGCACCTACATGTAGAATTATAGCAAATATTCCCCAGTCGCTTCTCTACATTGACTCCATGCACATGTGTATAGTCATGGAACAGAAAACTGGATGAGTTGAACTGTACACGAATGTTAGACTTAAACTTTGTTGATGATTCATAGAAGCACAGACCCAAACACCTCATGTTCACTGAGCATTTAGTGGCTTACTCCCCTAAATTCTGACAACCCTAAGTTCTTATACTATTAATGATACCCTATGGCAATAACTTGCTGTAGAACTCTTGTTAGGATAAAATTACAAGGTTGCAATATTTGTCACCTGTAATTGGTGACAGGCTTTAGAACGTACCAATATGATTTTATGGGTAAAGGTTGTGGCACGTGTCTGATAATTTAAAATCATATTCATTACTTTTATGTTATATCCCCCAACCAATGTATTAAGGACGACGACATAATTTTTTTAAGAAGGCAGCAAAGGTATGCTGGCCACAGTATACAACCGAACCCCCCACCCCCAAACATACACATTGCGTACATGTAACTAGACTGCTATAATGTCATAGTCTGGGGGGAACGTTGGTGAGGGATAAAGCCACATCCAAGCCTTCACATGAATTTAATGAAATTTACGCCACAAACTCACAATGATGCTATTGACTGTACTGTAGCATAACTGTTGTTGCATGTAGAACATTTGCTTTGTTACTTAGGAGATATTTTTAGGGTTAGGAAATTTGTGTCAAATTGATAAAGGAATGTAGCATTAATTGTACGTTTTGTCTGTATATGTGACAATACTGATACCTTCCATAGCTGTGTTTGTATCTTATTCCTCTGAGACTTTATATTTCTGCGAACTTACTTTCCTGTAAATGGCGGGAAAATTGGTGAACGGTGTCTTACATGGCCGAATGCTACTCGTTGTACGCGCTTCAACTAACCTGTATTATATAACCGTTGTTACTTCTCTTTGAGCATTTTACGCTGTAATGTATCGGATACCCCTCCCCATCCTCTGTAGCGGCGCTTTTAATAGCTGTGTACAGAGAGTTGGAGAGAAAAATGCTGCTGGTTAAATTTCTTTGTTCTGCTGCTGACAGCTTTTTTCTTTGTTCTCGTGTGTGTAATACCTTTGGCAAATTAAAACAAGAAGTGGAACTTGTACCTTGTTGTTCCTTGCTGTATTCGAAGTGTTTTGGCGTTGTCATATTGACACGTGGGGTCGTGTGGCGTAGCATGATCATGAAAATAATTATAATGTTCAGGTTCAACATAATATAGTAACGTTATATCGTAGTTTCATCATCCTCCGACCGAGTAACGCCAGTAGCCAAACATATATATACTTTTTTTATTTGTACTTAAACTGTACAAAGTTCAGGTTTAAATTGCAATTTTATTAGCTGACATATTGTAGCAAAGACGAACCTTCAACAGGCAGGTGCCATCCTGAGCTCGTTGTACTGCAGTAATATAAATGATCGCTAGGTGTGATACCAGCAACTTGCTGAGGTGACAGCTTGACAAGTTTTGAGCAACTCAGTAGTATTGTAAAGAGTTCCAGTAGAGATCGAAAGATCGCTAGAATGCGACGCCTGAGTAACATTACGACGTTCAGCAAGTCAAAACAACGAGGGTGATTTATCTTAACAATCTAAGAACTCCATATGAAATGACGTTCAGATTCAACATAATATGGTTTACCGTAGCTTCTTCGAGTAAAGTCACTTGCGTTTTCGTGTATGAGCGCAAATGAAGAGCAAAAAAAACCAACGTAAC